TAGCTATCCTTATCTCAACCAGCAAAAACCCTTGTTCCTTCCTATTATTGCTTATACTCTCTCTACAACAAAATTAGAAATAAGGGCAAAAATAGTTTCTGCTGGGTATTGAGTGGGGGAGGGGAGGGGTGAGGTGGGTGGTAAGGGAGGGGGTGGGGCAGGGGGGAGAAATGACCAAGCCTTGTATGCACATATGAATAATAAAAGAAAAATGAAAAAAAAAAATGGGAGGCCAAAAAGCCAGTGGACTATTATATTTGTAAAGACTGGAAGGAAGCCAGGGGCAGGGCCACACCTGTTTTGTGCACTACGCTACTTGCAAGCAGAAAAAATTAGGAAGTTGAAGTTGATCTAGTCCCAGCCAGTTAGTTTAGACCCCCCCATCCTCAACCAATGAAAAGCGGCTGTGGTGGTGCATGCCTGTCATTCCAGCTATCAGGAAGCATAAAAAGGAGACTGAGGCTAAGGCTAACCTTGGTTAAAAGCAAGACCCTATCAAGAACATAACTTAAAAAAACCAGGCACTGGGGCTCAAACCCTGTAATTCCTTAGCTACTCAGGAGGCAAAGATCAGAGATTGCAGTTTGAAGCCAATCCTGAAGCAAATTTAGTTTTGCGAAGACCCTATCTCCCAAAATCCCATCACAAGAAAGGGCTTGCATAAGGGTTTCAAGTGTGTAGAGCATCTGCCTGGCAAGCATAAGGCCCTGAGTTTCAAACCCCTATGCCACCAAAAAAATAATTAACAAAAATCAAAAAGGAGCTTGAGGAGGATATAAAGGAGAAGGATGGACGGGAGTAAAAATCTAAAACTAAGATATATTGTTAAGCATGTATGTAAATACACAGTTTAATTTCCCCTTGATATAAACTATTATATGCTAACAAAATAAAAAATAATTAATAAAAACAGTAAAAGGAAAAAAAAATAAGGGCAGGGAGGCAAAGTCGTGCTAATATGGCTCAAATGGGTAGAGCACCCTGCCTGGTAGCAAACACAAGCCTCAAACTCCCAGTTACACCAAAAAAAAAAAAAAACTAGAAAATATAATGCTCAAACAAGAATACTATCTACAGAAAAACTAAATAAAGATCTACCTAAATAAACAAACCATAAGGACATTTATTACCAGTAGATTTCCCCTACAAAAAATGCTAAAAGGGAATCAGAGCTTTTTATCAAAATGAAAGAACACTTAAACCAATCTTTTGTAAATACTTGTGCATATATAAAATGCAGCAGTAGTTTTAATTTTTTCTAAGTCCACCTTTTACTTTCTGGGACAGGAATCTTAAGGAAAATACACAAGATTTGAAACATAGAGGGCTGGGGGTTCAGCTGCATGATGCAGTGCTTGCCAAGCAGGTGCCAGGCCCTAGGTTTGATCCCCAGCACCACACATACACACATACACATACACAAAAAAATTATATAGGAGGATTTGTGTGTAGGTTCTATGCAAATACTACACCATTTTGTATCAGAAATTTAAGCATCCAAGGATTTTGGTAACCATGGGGGTCCTGGAACCAATTCTACCCAGATACTAAGATAACTGTATATACTAACGAGGATAAATTTAGCAACAAGATTTAACAATTAAAAACACATATGCACCAAAATCAGAACCTCAAAATATACTAAGTAAACAATGACCAAAGAAAAGAGAAGCACACAATAACTGAAGGTAGAAATAGACTATTCTACAATAATACTTCAAGACTTCAATCTGCTATTCTAATAGACCATCTAGAGAGAATTTCAGTGAGTAAAGATAAGTCTGAATAACACTATAAACCAATCAGAACTAGCAGAAGTAGAGTATTCTACCCAATGGTGGTAGAATAAACATTCTTCTCAAGAACAATCTCCAAGACAGACCATGTTAGGTTACAAAAAGTCAAGTTCATGAAGACTGAGATCACAGATTATGTTTTCAATCATAATAGAATGAAACTAAAACTTAGTAACAGAAAGGAAACTGAAACATATGAATATTAAACTTATGCACTTGTTAAATGACATGGCTCAAATAAGAAATCGAAAAAGAAATTTTACAAATACTTGGAGATGAATGAAAACAAAATCAACACACCAAAAGTTATGGGATGGAGCATAAGTAGTGATCAAAAGAAAATTTGTAATTATACATGCCTAGGTTAATAAGAGAAGACAGGCAAGCTTGGTGGCAACCCTGTAATCCCAGCACTCAGGAGGCAGAAGCAAAGGATGGCAACTTGGACCCAGACTGGGTTACACACCAAGTTTAAGGTCAGCCTGAGCTGCAATGGCAAGACCCTGTTTCAAAAACCCAAGGGCTGGGTATGTGGCTCAATGGCAGAGTGTTTGCCTGAAAAATGAGGTCCTGAATTCCATCTAAAGCAACACACACACACAAAATTAATTTAAACTAAATTAAATTAAAAGAAGAAAACACCTATTAATTCCAGCACACCTATTAATTCCAGCACTCTAGATGCTGATACTCATAGGGAATACAAGTTTGAGGCCAGCCTAGGCTACACAGAGAGAACTTGCCTCAAATAAATTACACACATACATGCATACATATAAAAAGATCTCAAATAAAAAACCCAATGAGGAAAGGGAAAAGAACTCTAAACTCAAACCAAGGAAATAATAAAGGCTAGAGCAGAAATAAGTAAATAAATAAAAGAATTAATAAAAGCAAAATTGATTATTTTAAAAGATAAAGGAAATCAACAAACATTTAGCTAAATTAATGAAAGACATAAAGAACAATGTACAGAAAAGGGGAACATTACTCCTGACATTTCCAAAATAAAAATGATTACAAGAAAATGCTATGAAAAACTGAACACAAACTAGTTAGGTAACCTAGATGAAATGGACAAATTCCCAAAAACACATCAATCAGCAAAACTTAGTAGAAAACTTTAAGTAACAATTAAACAGATTTACTAATCAGTCATCAAAATCCCCCAACACACTACACAGTCATAGTGGCACACATGAAGGAAAGAGGCTCAAGAGTTTGAGGCCAACATAGGCTAGACCCTATCTCAAAAGTAAACCTCCCAACAGAGAAAAGCTTCACTGATGAACCTATAATGATACACAGAAAGTATCTGACCAACAGCCTCTTATGATTTAAAAAAAAAAAAAACCCTCAATAAACTAGGAATACGATGAAACAACATTGTAATTGCTGTATGGGAATAACCAAAAAAAAAAAAAAAAAAAAAAATCACACACAATTGGTGACAGAAAAAAAAGTTTTTCTTCTAAGAGAATGAAAAAGGCAAGATGACCACTTTTCAATATAGCCAAGCATCAGTGGCTCACACCTCTAATTTTACCTACTTGGGAGGTTGAGTTGGGAATATCAAGGTTCGAGATCAGCCTGGGCTGGCAAATAGTTCACAAGACCCCATCTCCGAAATAAACAGAGCAAAACAAACTGGGGTGTGACTCAAGATGTAGAGTGCTTGCTTTGAAGCACAAAGTTCTGAGTTCAAACAATGAACCACTCCTCCCCCTCCAAAAAAAGAAAGGAAAAAAAAAATTCTGGCCATAATAACTTGGCAAAAAAAATAATAAAAGGCACCCAAATTGGAAAGGAAGAAATAAAACTATCTCTGTTCACAGAATGACATGACTATCTAGAGAAAAATTCCAAGTAATCTACAATAAAGTTACTATAGCTAATAAGCACGTAAACTGCAGGGTATATGATCAGTGTATAATACTTGCACTAATGAAATATTATTTGTATACACTGGCAATGTTCAATCTGAAAAGGGAATTAACAGATCAAATAAATTAATAACAGTATCTCAAAGAATAAATATCTGGGAATAATTATAGTTAAGGAAGTGAAGACTTACTGAAAATCACTAAAGATTGCTGAAAGAAATTAAAGACCTAAATAAAAGGGAAGACCTATGATTATGGTACGAAGGTTTAATCCTGCCAAGATGTCAGTGCTGCTATTCACAATAGCCAAGTTATGGAAACAGCCAAGATGCCCCACCACTGACGAATGGATTAAGAAAATGTGGTATCTATACACAATGGAATTTTATGCAGCCATGAAGAAGAATGAAATGTTATCATTCACTGGTAAATGGATGGAATTGGAGAACATCATTCTGAGTGAGGTTAGCCTGGCCCAAAAGACCAAAAATCATATGTTCTCCCTCATATGTGGACATTAGATCAAGGGCAAACACAACAATGGGATTGGACTATGAGCACATGATAGAAGTGAGAGCACACAAGGGAGGGGTGAGGATAGGTAAGACACCTAAAAAATTAGCTAGCATTTGTTGCACAGAATCTAAAGCAGATACCTTAAAAGCAACTGAGGCCAATAGGAAAAGGGGAACAGGAACTAGAGAAAAGGTGAGATCAAAAAGAATTAACCTAGAAGGTAACACCCACGCACAGGAAATCAATGTGAGTCAATGCCCTATATAGCTATCCTTATCTCAACCAGCAATAACCCTTGTTTCTTCCTATTATTGCTTATACTCTCTCTACAACAAAATTAGAAATAAGGGCAAAATAGTATCTGCTGGGTATTGAGGGGGTGGGGGGGAGAGGGGAGGGGGAGGAGTGGGTGGTAAGGGGAGGGGGTGGGGGCAGGGGGGAGAAATGACCCAAGCCTTGTATGCACATATGAATAATAAAAGAAAAATAAATAAATAAATAAATTTTTAAAATAAATAAATAAATAAATAAAATTCAGTATCTTTCTGGTCAAAAAAAAAAAAAAAAGATGTCAGTGCTGTACTGGAGGTGTGAGCAAAGCCGAGTTCAAACCCCAGTCCCAAAATTTAAAAAATTAAAAATTAAAAAATTAGCAGGATCATGGCCTAGGCCAGCCTGGGCAAAAATCAAGACCCCATCTCCAAAATAACCAGAGCAAAATGACTGGAGGTGTGGCTCAAGTGCTAGAGCACCTGCTTTGCAAGGACAAATTCTAAAGTTCAAACTCCAGTCCCAGTAATGAATGAATGAATAAATGAATGAGCTAAATCAAAAGATCTTAAAATTGAAATAACCTTGAAATTTAAATATAAACAAGATGAAGTTTTCTTAAGCTAAGCTTTAACAGTCTGAAGAACATTTGTAGCTCCTCTCCAACTCCAAACAGAAAATTCAAAAGGGCAATCATACTAGTAGCATTTACCATTATATGTAAGATCATAAGCTTATTTCCATTAGCTACATATATTTTTCTATTCATTTTAGATAGGTGATCTTCATGATATGAAGACAATAATGGAATTAAGTGAGATTTCTAAGATAAATCTGGTTAACAAATACCTAACAGCAAAACTATCACAGCACTTTTATACACATTCAAACAAATGTCCAATTTTTTTTTTTTTTAATACTGGGGTTTGAACTCAGGATCTTGCACTTGCTAGGCAGCTGCTCTACCACTTGAGCCACTGTCAGCCCCCATTGTGCAGTTTTTATCAGTACATGAGTTACCTGTTTGTATTCACTGACACAACTTTGACAGCAAAATCTCTTCTGTTGACCATCAATCACCAGAACGTTATTTCCAGCGCCTTTACTAGGCAAATACTCTCCACACTGTTCACAGCAATTCATTATTAGACCATTGGCCATTCTATATCTATTAAAGCAGTGGTCACTGCACAGCTTATGAGTCATATTTTTAAAACTAACTTCATGGCGAATCTAAAAAAAACAAAAAACAAAAACAGAATTTTAAGAAACAGATCTTAAATAACAAGACAATCCAACAGAAACAAAGATACTACCAATGTGAGCTACTTGGGGAAAAAGAATAATAAAACAAATTTCATAATTCTTTGATCTGTTTTTATACACACAGGAACACATATGTGGCGCTGAAAAAAGAAAAACCCACCAATGACATCACTATAGACTTCTCAAGAAGTATATAAAAAATAGCCAAATTTGGTGGATAGAGTTGATATTAAACTTCATAAATAAGCATACTAGAAATCTTTAGACAACTCCAAAAGGAATTGTAAAGTATATTGCTCTAGAAAAAGAGAGGATAACCAATATTACAAATAAATAAGGTAAGTATACATAGGTTTCTTTTTTTTAATATATTAACAATGTGAATTTATAAAAACACACGTGTTTGTGTATGTGTGTGTTTGTGTATACCTTACACTTCTACTTCCCAGAAAGAGTACTTGTTGTCTTTCTTGTATAATCAACTTATTTGTTTAAATAAACATATTGCTGGAAAAAGACAAAAGTGTATGATTTTGTCTATGATAATCTCAAACTCAGAAAAACACAATTAACCTAATTTTCCATAAGTCAGCTCCCTGTGGGAGAATGAGATGACTAATGGAATATTTAAGGCAGTTTTTATATATATGCACACTTTAAAAAAATACATACAATGATAAAAGAGTATGTTTTAATAGCCATCAAAAGTTGAAAATATGCAGACACCAGTAAGAATGGGAGGACCAAGATTTGAGGCCAGCTCAGGCAAATAGTTTGAGATACCCCATCCCCAAAATAACCAGAACAAAATGGACTGAAGATGTGGCTAAAGCAGTAGAGCACCTGCTTTACAAGTACAAAGCTGTGAGTTCAAACCCCAGTCCCATAAAAAGAAAAGTTTAAAATAGTCCTAGTTAGATTCAAGTGGTAAATATAAAATACAAACCTCTGTTAGTTTACCACAGATTGTACATCTTGATTTATTTAGAGCTCCTTTAGTAGGATTCTGCTTGTCTTCATAAAGAGACAAACAAGATGTACTACAGAATTCCTGGAAGGATTCACTTGAATCCACTTGAGCAACAATGGTTCCTTTCATTGTAGTTATATCTCTGAAAAATAAGGGATACAACGTAAAGTAAAATTCCATTTTAAAAGAAATCAAATATAACTAAGATAATAACATTTTTCATTTCCACAGATTGAATCAAGGAAATCAAGCATTATTTTTAGAATCAAGAAACCAACTTTACTATAAAATATGAATAGTTGGCAGTAAAGATTGAGAAGAGAAAATAATTCATACTATGTAATTCTTCCCACAACACAGTTTATCTTTAAATTCAGTATCAACCCTATCTGATATAGAAGACACTAAAACAAAGAAAACTAGTTATTAATTACATGGAGCTGATGACAAGGGCCAATTTACTAAGACCTAAATTTATAGTACCTTTTCAATTCCTTCCTCTGGGTAAGAAGAACTTAGCACTAGATATGTAAATCATAAGAATATAACACACATTCAAAAGAAGTTAACTGAAATCTTATTTATACCTAAGGGAACCACCCCACCCCCAAATAACACACCATTCTACACAGCTCTCCAGCTACAATTAGAAAATTACCATATGATACTATTGATGACTTTAAAGTCTTCCCTTAAAGAAAGGAAAGTCTAAAATTTCAAGACTGCATGCAATATTTAAGACCACTATTGTCAAGCAATCTATAAACTTTAAAATAATTATTTCTGTATTAGAATTTTTAATCATGTACAGAGCACTAAGCTCTTTCAAGAGTTCCAATATCTAAAAATAGTTTCTTGGCCTGCTCCAGGATATCGTACAGAAAGTCCTCCCTGGTTTAACCTCGCATGTATTATACCATATTCTAAGATCTGAAACCAGATCTAACAAAAAGCAAAAGAGAGAGCTGCAATGTCTTAACACTAGCAAAAACGTGGTACCTGAGTCATGAAACTCTTACGTATTTCTAATGACTTAATATTCAAAACAAATACAAAAAAATCTACAAGATTCACCAACTTAAAAAATCTCACTCTGAAGACAATGTAAATTTCCACCTGTTTTCATACAGAATCAGTTATACATAAATTACTTAACATTAAGCTAAATTCTTATAATTAATAATTACTTTGTGGTACAGCCCTCGCCTAGCTTGTGTACAGTCGTGGGTTCGAGGCCCAGCAAAGCAAAAACAAGTAAAAATAAAATAATGTAAATCATGTATTTCAAAAATTAATTACAAGGGTCTATATAAATCAACACCTAAAGCATTACTTAACATTAAGCTAAATTCTTATAATTAATAATTACTTTGTGGTACAGCCCTCGCCTAGCCTGTGTACGGTCGTGGGTTCGAGGCCCAGCAAAGCAAAAACAAGTAAAAATAAAATAATGTAAATCATGTATTTCAAAAATTAATTACAAGGGTCTATATAAATCAACACCTAAAGCTTACCAACAGGAAGCCTATCTACATGCCACATGGACATGATAAACTTCCAAAGCCATTACAAATTTGAGTTTGGCTTCAAGAGTCAATGTAGCATACCAATTTTTAAAATATGGTAATTATGTCACAGATTCCTACTGAATTTTTTCTTAAAATTTTAAACCACCAATATAAAACCACATGTACTTATACTGAAAGGTGATTCTTACTTTTTACACATAACACAGAGTTTCTTTGGAGCAGGCTTGTGAGAAAAGGAAGAAAGGCAGGTGGTAGAACAAAAGAGGTGAGCTGATCCTTTTCGTTGATAAGCTGTCTGTCCCTTCTGTAAAGGTTTTTTGCAGTTTGCACAAGTAACCTTAACAGGTTTAGTGGGTTGTTGTTGGGCTGAAGGCTGGAAAATCTGTTTAGGAAGCGAGGCCACTGGTGATAAAGAATCCACCCCTGGTTGCTTCTGATTACGGGGAAATGATGCTGACTGGGAGATCCAAGAATCTTAAAAACAAAATGCATAAGGAAGAATAATGAAATAGGTATTTATAAACGTTGAAATTTGTATCACAGAAACAGTTTTAACTTCCCCTTTTGTAGAAGTTAAGATGGTGATGGAGCAACAATTTAACAGAGTATACAGTTTTGGGATAAGAATGTCTGGCTCTTAGTAATATATTTTAATCTTGAAAATTGCTAAGAACATAGATTTAAAGTATTCTCAAAACAACAATTAGCTAGATTTAGCTATTCCACAGTGTGTACATATTTCCAAACAACATATTCTACAGGATAAGTATTATATATATCACATATAATAAACACATATTCCATATATATTTTATAGTATAAAATATTATATATTAGTGCTATAATAAATACAATAATTATATAACATATAAACATAATATTTATTATACATGAAATAAATATATATTATGTCAATTAAAAAAAGAATTAGGCCAGGTGTCAGAGGCTCATGCCTATAATGCTAGCTACTTGGGAGCCTGAGATTGGGAAGATCGCAGTTCAAGGCCAGCCAGGGCAAATAGTTCACAAGACCCCATCTCCAAAATGACCAGAGCAAAACAGACTGGAGGTGTGGCTCAAGCCGTATAGCACCTGCTTTTAAGTATAAAGCACTGAGTCCAAATATTAGTCCCACGAAAAAAAGGGAAGAAGTCAGATAAACTGATTTCTGGTGGCTCGTGCCTATAATCCTAGCTACTAGGGAGGCAAAGATCAGGGGAATAAAGAGTCAAGGTCAGTCCCAGACAAAAAGCAAGACCCTATCTCAAATATACCCAAAATGAGAAAGGGCTGGCAAAGTGGCTCAAATTTGAGCAAGTGTGAGGCCCTGCATTCAAACCCCAGTACCAGGCTGGGGATGTAGCTCAGTGGGAAAGCTCTTGCCTGGTATGTACAAGGCTGAGTTCAATCCTCAGCACTGCAAACAAGCAAACAAAAACAATGTTTCACAGCCTGCAGCTACAACTTCTAAGACTGGGATGCTACTTAAACTATGTGCGTCCCTAAAAACTATCAGTCATTAGTTATCAGGCAGGAAGTATTCACATATTTACAGAATATTACTTTAAGCAAGGAACATAAAAGTATAAAATCTTGACCAAATAGGTACTTTCACATATGTAACACAAGTCTAAAAGGTATAAATAAATTATTTTCAAACATCTTTGTAAACTGGGCACTGGTGGCTTGTGCCTGTAATCCTAGTTACTCAGAAGGATCACATCACGGTTTGAAACCGGCCCAGAAAATAATTTGCAAGACCCTATGTTGAAAAACCCCATCACAAAAGTAGGGCTGGTGGAGTGGCTCAAGGTACAGGCCCTGAGTACAAAAAGAAAAAAGTTTATAAAAACATACATATGCTCAGTCCCATAGCCTCTAAATATAACACATAAACTCAGAAATTAAAGGAATGTTATCAAGATAATCAAGCCAAGATATATTGACTAATCCAACATCAAATTACCACCACTTCAAAAGTTCAGCACAGCATAGCACCACAGTTTGTGTAACAATACTACAGTGCAGCTACTGATCTTTTTTCATGGTAAATTTCTTTAACACTCAGCAGGACGTTTCCAGGTTGCTGCACTAAGTTCTATTCCATAGGCCTGTCCTAACACCGCTAATACTATAACCAAGGTTCATTTTTAAATTTTCAGGCCACCACTTCTAATTTCTACTACTTTGATCTCTCATCTTTTTTTTCCTTTCTAATCTCCTCTAAGTTTGACCTTCCATACATAAAAGCTGTCCTTTTATGGGAAATACAAACATAATTAGAGCTTGGGAAAACTTCTTTAACACAAAAACCTTAAAAGAGCTAATTTCTTAGTCCTGACCCACTCCATCAACCTAATGGTTTCAAGGAACTACATACACACTGCTATTCAGATTTTATCTGACTCTACAATATCCTTCAACTTTAAAAAACAAAACTCTTAAGACAGGTGAGGTAGTATACATCTGTCATCCCAGGAGGCTGAAGGAGGATCACAAGTTTGAAACTAACCAGGGATACATAGTGAGATACTACTGGTCTGTATGTCTAAATAAATAAAAACTTTAAGGCTGTCTGAGTTGCAGTAAGAGTGCCTGCCTACCAAGTATGAGGCCCTGAGTTCAAACCCCAGTGCTATACTGCCCCCCTCCCTTCACCAAAAAAATAACTTTATACATAGACACACAGTGCATTCTCAGATCCTTATCTTGCTATCTTCATCAGGGTAACTAACCAGTTTTAACAAATGGATAAAAATACTTATCTACAGGAAAGCAAATTACTAAAAGAGTCAGGAGTTTCATCTTACAAAGGAAACAAGAGCCAGCAGTCAGCTCACGCTTGAGTATATGCTAGATGGAACAGTTTTTTGCAAAACAAATATTGACTCCCTAAGGTTTTCAATTTTGTAGGCTTATCTTTTGAATATACACTTAAAGGAGCCTATTTAAACTTAAGGACATCTACTGCCTTTATTTTGAAAAATGGCACTTTAATTTTTTTTATTTAGCTTTTAAGTCCTTTATGAATAATATCTCCCTTTATCCACACATCAGCTCTTACATTTCCCCTACTTTCACATTTCCTCCTCTAAAACATTAAAAAATAATAATTAGGGGACCTAAATCATTTCATTTAAACTGTCAATTTCATACAAAGACATGAAGGGATAGCAGTTAAATTTATCCTAGTCACAATTAGTGTATGAACTAGTATCAACAGCCAAGAATTTATAAGTCTTAATGTACTATACAAAAGCTAATCTAGTAAATGCAGAGCAAAAGGTCTGTTTGTTTACATTTTTCTTAGAAGTGTTTTAACTATTAGAAAGATAAATGGCTATTTTAAAACTAACTTGAACACTATCACTCCTAAAACTTTCATGTAAACTGAAATTACAATGAAAAACATTAATATATAGCTAGTGGCAGTATAAATTGATAAAGCTTTCTGAAACACAATACGGTAACATACATCTAAAACAAATCTTTGAAGATACAGAGGTAATCATGTTTTGGCCCAGTAGCTTCTCTATGAACATATTCTATAGAAATAATCAGAAATGTGAACAAAGATGCTTAATAGCAAATATGGGAAACATAGAAAAGCCAAATGTGGAAATGGAGCCATCAATACCCATTGGGCAGCAATTAAAACTGTTACAAATATTAGTGGTATGAGAAAATACAGTATAATATTGAGTAGTGAGAAAAAAATGAAACAAAACTACACAGAGCTGAGTTTTAACTAGGTTAAAAAAAAATTCCAAGAAAAATGACTGCAAGATAACCACTCAAAGCACTGACAATGTTCTCCTTTGGTTAATAAGACTCTAGGAGAGTCTTCCCCCTCAATCTCCCCTCCTCCTCTGTCCCCCACACTAGCGATTGAACCTAGGGCATCTGACCAAGCTAGGCAGTTGTTCTACCACTTCAGCTATGTCCCCACGCCACCAACCTATTCTTAATTATACATTTTCCAAACATTCCTCACTAATCAGACGTTAATGTCCAAATAAATGAGAAAAATAACTGACACTGTATAGAACATTCCACACAGCCACAATTCCCAGGCTGTTAAAGCGCTAAGGAGCCCTAAAATGATGAAAAGGCAGACACATATAGATAAATGAGAGAAACATTGGCAGACAAATAAAAGTGAAAGAGAGGAGCGTATAAAAAAATGGTCATAAAAAGGCCAGAGTTCTTATAATCTCTGTATTTTACTAGTTTTTTACAAATCAAGGCTGCCCATAGGAAAAAAATCTCAGTCAAAAAACCTACCAACCTTCAAAAATGAAAGAAAAGTAATGAAGTGCTAATTTAAAATGTGCTAAAATTGGACACAGTCCAAAAGGACCTCAAGCTTTTCAAGCTTATACAGTAAATGTGTGCAGCTTTCAGCATAGCAATCATTCTTTAAAATTGTTTAAAAAACAAAAAGAAGGATATGGTTGGCTGTTTTTGAAAGAGAGAGAGGAAGTAAAAAAGCTTAGCAACTCTTTAAAAAACATGAAAAATAAACACACAGAAACAAGCCAGGCACTGGTGGCTCATGCCTAAGTAGCCTGTAATCCTAGCTACCTAGGAGGCAGAGATCAGGAGGACTGAGGTTCGAAGCCAACCCAGGCAAATAGTTTGTGAGACCCTATCTCAAAAAAAAAAAAAAAAAAAAAACCCATCACAAAAAAGAGCTGGTGGACTGGCTCGAGATGTAGGCTCTGAGTTCAAACCCCAGTACCGTTAAAGGGAGGGAGGGAGGGAAGGAGAGAGGAAGGAAGGAAGGAATCTAAATGCAGGGCGGAGGCATAACTCAAGCAGTAAAGCACCTACAAGCATGAAGCCCAGCCCAAATCAGAAAAAAAACCAATACTAAAAAAAAATACAAATATAAAAAAACTAAATGCATTATACAACTATTTTTAAGCATTCTTTTTGATCTCTAATTTACATATTAAAAGTAGTAAAAATGTTAGCAAAAACACATAAGATATTTTTTCTAAACCTTGAAAAAGTACTACACGTTAAAACTCTTAAGACTTCAAACTTAAAAGTCAATAAAATTAACATTTCTCATAGAAAAACTAAGCAACATAGTACCAATTACTATAATGAAAAGAATTAGCCAAAAATGTAAATTTATTGAGGCAGACTATCACTTACTGCTTACCAGGATTATGATGAGATGCAGATTCTCCATTCTGAAATACATCTCCTGCCACATTCATTCTACCAGGATTAAAAGGTCCTACTCCAGCCTTGGTCTGGGTAGTTAAAGATGGGGTGTATGTTTGTATATTAACACCAAAATTATTTGACTGAAGTCCATTAGAGACATCTCCCAAGTTGGAATTCTGCAATGATGTTACATGTGTAATCATTAAGTTCATATCTCTCCCGTCAGTACTTTCTAAGTGTCCATCATTCACAGAGCTTACACCTGTTTCTAAGGTAGTAACATTAGCGATCTGAATTTCAGAGTCTGGTTCTGTGGTAATACCACTATTACCCATACCTGCATTTACCTTACTTCTTGAAAAACTGGAAGTGGAGAAATCCACATCGTTTCTGATTTTAGTATCAGAAGGTCTCCGTTCAATAAAATTTGAGGAATTTTTCTCTTGCCCTTGATTTGTTTCCATGTCCTCTTCATCATCAATGACAATTGTTTCACTTACACTTCCCTTCTGAGTAGCCAGCTCTTTTGAGGAAGGAAGAATTTTGGGATCATTTCCATGTAGTTCTTCATTTTTTGATGATGTAAATGTTATGGTTCTTTGATCAGCTACTACTGGTGTAGAAGGTGGGGGAGGTTGTACAGGTTCAATAAAAACAACATCATCGTCGTCTTCCACTGATGAATTTTGAAACTTACTAGATCTAGACACTAAAGGATTAGGTGGACCACTAAATGAATTTCCTACATTCGTGAGACTAGTTGCCATGGCCGTACTTCCCAATAAAACAGAAGTCTGATCAGTCACTTCTAATGTTCCCACTGAACTTGTGTCCATACCAAAGAACCTATAAGGAAATGAAAAGAAGAAAAACATCAGTGTATGACGTTGTTACTCTATCAGAAACCATTTTTTCTTTTTCATTATAAATGAGAATTATGTAATTCCTCTCATTTCATATAGTTTACTCACTAACTTCTGCAGGATATCAAGAAAGATAAAGATCCAATTTTCTGAAATCATATGCAGTATGTGCCCACCACCAATTGCTTTTGAGCATACACTATTTACTCTATAAACCTTAACACTGAAAATAGATAAATCCTTCCACAAATTTCAATATTCATGTAACCCATATGTCCATGAATTAAATAAAACAATATGGCCCAGTTCCCAATAGATCATTTTCATTTTTTATCCCTTTTCCTTGTATTCCTGGCTCTCCTAACCACATGATTAAACCTTCCTGAAAATTTGAAATCTTCCTCGCCCCATCCAGAAAGCTTACATACTTTTTGCCAGACACCACGCTGTTTGCCTTTTGTTGTTTAACTTTGTTTTTGAGACAGGGTCACACTATATACCCCAGGTTGGCCTTGAACCTGTCTCAGCCTCCCAAGTGCTGGGATAACAGATGTGAACCATCACACCCAGCTTTTTGTATGTTTTAGATCTATCCATGTAGCAGGCTGACTAATGATCTCCAAAGATAACAGGTCCCAATTACTGGAACCTTCAAACATTTTCTTATATGGAAAAAGTGTCTTTGCAGACATGATTATACATAAGAATTCTGAAGTGAAGATTATGTGAGTGAACCTTAAACACAGATAGCCACAATATCGTTGTAAGGGAGCACTAAAGGAAGGTGAGATAGGCCAAAGAGGAGAAGGCAGGCTGAAAAAGATTGAAATTACAAAACCAAGGAGTGCCAGCAGTCACCTGAATGTAGAAGAGGTCAAGAATAGATTCTCCCCAAAAACCCCCAGAGAAAGTGATTTGATTCCAGTGAAACTGATTTCACACTTCTGGCCTCCAAAACAGACAACGAGTTTCTGACAGTTTGTTGTGGTTGCTACACAAAGCGCATTACAATTCCCTTCTCGCTTAAATCTCCCAAGCAAACCTTCCATAGGTATAACTTGTGTTCCATGTTAATGATTAAGATATTGCAGCTGAGAGATGCTAATCTACCCATTCACAGTTAGAATGAATATCGAGGTCCCTAAAACTCAAGAGTTCAAATTCTTCACTCTGCTACATTCAACTAATATTTTTTGAGCACGTAAATGTATGCGAGGCTATGCATGCCACAAAGAGGGTAAAGTTAAGAATCTAAAGCAGAAGTCAGGCGCTTATGGCTCCTATCAGTCATCCTTGCTACTCAGGAGGATCATGGCTCAAAGGCAGCCCAAGGCAAATAGTTTGTGAGACCCTATCTCAAAAAAACCCAACAGAAACTCCCCTGGCAAGTATGGTGCTGGCATATGGGGGAGGGGAGATACCCACCACAAAAAAAAAAAAAAAAACAAGGCTGGTGGAGTGGCTCAAGTGGTAGAGCACCTGCCTAGCAAGCGTGAGGCCCTGAGTCCAAACCCCAGTGCAGCAAAAAATAAATAAAAATAAAACTCAAGCTTTAAATATTCATAGCGAATATGTAACGTGCAATGACGCATCAAACAATAATAAACCAATAACGCAACTTAATGTTTTAAAAATATAGCCATTCAAAAAAAATAACCAAATCAATATTCAAACTACACAAGCTTCAAAATAAATATAAAAACCTAGAGCTGGGATGTATCTCAGTGGTAAAGCACTTACTTGCCTAGCACACACAAGGCCCAGGGTTCAAACCCAGCACCAAAAAAAGACCAAAAAAATAGGCCAGGCTTGGTAATCCAAGCCTATAATCCCAGCACTTAGGATGCTAAGGAAGGGAGATGGTAAGTTCAAGGCCACCCTGGCTACACAGCAAAACCCTGTTTCAAATAACGTAGTGGTAGGAATGCTTGCTTAGCATGTTCAAGACCTGGATCTGATCTCCAGCACTTCAAAGATAAATAAATAAAAATTAAAAATAATGGAGTTGAAATTATAGTTAATATTCACCTGTCATAACACAGCAAGTATCCTGACCAGCATAACTGTTTTCAGAGAAATACGGCAACTGATCAGCCCAAATCTACTGATGTTATAAAATACATAGACTTAATGTATACGTTCTCTAGCTCTTTTCTGTTTTAGCATATTCCAAACAGAAGAAACAATTTCTAGGACAGAAAGGCTAGAACTGACTAACAGAAACAGTACCCTCTGGTGGTTGCTAGGAGTCAATTCAGTCTCCTAGGTAGAAGAAAGATCTTTCCTTACCACAGTCCTCTGCAGAGTCCTGATGTATGTTAGACAAATGCTCTACCACTCAGCTACATTTCCAAGCCTCAATACCACCCAAAAAAAAAAAAATCATTTTCTCATTTATAAGCATACCTAAAAGCTTTATAGGTACCTTAAATGAGTTACAAAAGAAGCTATAGTGAATTTTTCCTACAGTCAGTATGTATTTGTGGAATTTACTATAGTTCTGGGTTTAACATGATCAGTTTAAAATTTTAAGGATAAAACCTGCAAATTAAATAGATCAATTTACTTATAAATAAATATAAAATATCAAACCCAAGTAAATCAAATTTAGTGGTATATATTAAAAGGATTATCATTAAAGTTGAGAATAAGTCAAGGTTATTCTCCAAAAGTTCCATGAGAAACTACAGTATGATAATTAAGTAAAGTAAATAGGTAGACAGATAGGAAATTTTGCTTCCACCCAAAGTTCAAAACCAAAAGAAGTTACAAAAAACAAGATTAAAGCAGTAACAACAAAAAAATTAGAAGGACAGGAAAACAGAGAATTCAACAGCACCAAAATTTTGGAAGAGAGAAAGAAGATAGGCATAGATTAGTTGTAATCTAATTAATGAAGCAGGCCTAAAAAAAGTAAACCTTAAACCCACACTAACAAAAATTCTTAACCCAATTATGACTGAAACAAAACTTGTACTTAACATTCACTTGTCATAAGACAGAAATATCCTGATTGGCCCAACAATTTTCAGATGAGACAACAGCTCAAAATAGAATCCTCAAAACATTCAGCAGCACAGTACTATATTTCCTCTACAAAGGAGATGGTGTATCTAAGAGAGCTAGTTAATTGAAGAGAACTAAGTAAAAGTCACTTGAAGAGCAGTTAGGTACCTAGATTTCCTTAACTACTCAAGTAAGTCTAGAGATTTAACCACATGGAGAAATACAAGATTGACTCAGACAGGAGATGTCAGGCACATCTTTAGTAACACTTTACTGAATATGCTATATAAAATGAACTCAGGGACCTGTCAGCTTGGCTCAAGTATTAGAGTACCTGCTTAGCAAGCAAAAGGCCCTGAGTTCAAACTCATCCTGCAAAACAAATAAATAAATAAAATGAACTTATGCCTACTTAGTGTTGCTGATAACACAAGTCTCACACCTGAAACCCCAGCCACACACGTCTCCACTAAAGAAAATGGAAGACTCTTTTCTGGGAAACAAGATAATGGTAAAAAGAAAGATCTAAAGATACCAACAATGAGTGATTCCCAATCAAACATCCACCTTCAACACCCATCCATAAGGAACTGTAACATCAACTTTACTCTGACCCCAAAGGTCTCAGCATATGCAGTTTTTCTGTTCATTTGTTTGTTTTTTCGGTGACTGGGGTTTGAACTCAGAGGATGCTCTATCACTCTAGCCATACCTCCAGTCCATTTTGCTCCACATATTTTGGAGATGGAGGTCTCACAAACTATATTCCCAGGCTGGCCTCAAACCTTGATCCTCCTGATCTCAGCCTCCCAAGTAGCTAAGGATTACAGATATAACCAACGACCCTTGTTCCAAACAGCTTTTAGACATATATTCTTAATTATGAACAGACAACCACTAATTACCTGATAGCAGAGAAAAGATAATGAAAGATATCTTTATGGTGCTGTGAAGTTTTTTGTCACTGTGACAAAATACCTCACAGAAACAACCTAGAAGGAGAAAAGATTTATACTGTAGCTCAACTACTTTGTGGCTTCAAAGACTTCAGTTCATGGTCAGCTGAGTCCACTGCTTTTAGGCCTGTGGCAAGGCAGAGCAGAAGGGCATGGTAAAGGAAAACAGCTCACTTCATAGCAGCCAGGAAGCAAAGAAAGAGCAAGAGGAAGAGTTCAAAGAAAAATATCCTTTAGAGGCATGCCCCCAGTAACCTACTTCCTTCAAATAGGCCCCATCTCCTAATAGCTCATTCAACTATGAACTCAACCATCACTAATGAATTAGTTCTCTTGTGAGCCAATTGCCTCAACAGTACCACCAGCTGGGGACCAAGCCTTCAACAGATGAGCCTTTTGGGGGGATACTTCATAGTCAAACCATAACAATGATGAAAACAAACAGAAAAACTCAACTATAGTAAGTGATAACTATACAGGCAGAAAATGTTTTAATAAATATTCACAGAGATATTACATTCGTAAAGAACATAATGCTGGAAAACACTGGAGGAAAATGCACTCCTCTACTTAAAATCAAACACAGCGCTTGGTTTACTACAAGTTAGAGGCAGGAAATATCAAAATGATCCCAAAATACAGTGTATACTAGATAACAAGGAAACTATCAAAAACTACTGGGGAAGGGAGTTAAGACTCTGGAGCCAAGATGAGCATGCTCCAACTGACCTAAGATGGAGAAATTTGAACATCAATAAAAATTACTACAATGAATTAAAACACATAAAATGTTTAAATCTGTGAGTTCATTATGATACTAAAATTAAAAACAAACCTAATTACAAAGGAAAACATAATAACAAAAATATCAGTTTTCCCTAAATTTATCTGAAAACTTGCTTTAAACTCAATAAAAACATCAATACATTTTTTTAAGAGAGCAGTTCTTGGGGATGGGGATGCAGCCCAGTGGGAGAGCACATATCTAACGTGTATAAGGCCATAGGTTTATTCCCCAGCA